GGAGAGCACATACCAAAAACAGTGACCATACGCACACATACACTACGAACAATTTAGCCTACCCAATTTACTTATACCGCATGTCTTTGGACTTGTGGGGGAAACAGGAGCACCCGGAGGAAACCCACATCAACACGGGGAGAACAAGCAAACTCCGCACAGAAACACCAACTGACCCAGCCGGGGCTCGAACCAGTGACCTTTTTGCTGTGAGGCCATTGTGCTGAGTGTTTGACAAGCACAGCTTTGAACGCTACTTTTAAGAATATTCTTGAAACAGTTTTTGAACTATTGTTTCTATTAAAGCAGTACATTTGTAAAAAAAAAAAAAAAAAAAAAAAGCATTTTTTTGAAAATCTAAAAATGTTTTCAGGAAATGTTTTTAGATGCATTTGTCTAATAAAGAAATTCTTTACTTTAATCCTGTTATCTGTGTTTTTTTCCACCCTTTGTAATGTAAAACTAATTGTAAGTTAACTGATAAGTGACTTAGTATTTTAAAGTTGAAGAAATAAACATTTTCAGTTAAATTAGCTTAAGATTTTATAATTGGGTACACAGAACTTTAATGGTAGAAATTGCTTAAATTTGTAAACAAAACTGCTTAAAATATTAAGTTACAACAACCAATAAATTTGAGCAAAACCATTTGCTAGAATACTTAAAAAGTTAAGCATCACCAACTAAAGATTTTTAGGTAATATTGCTTAAAAATTAATGTGAAAATTGCTTAAAAAGAGGGATGCAAAAATGATGCACTATATTCATAAGTAAATCTAGCATATTATTTTTTTTCAGTGTAAAGGGTAAATAATGCCAGTAATGCCATCATTTTAATATCCAGACAAAGAAATTTGGTTTCAAAAGGGGGAAAAAACTGGTATAAGACTAACTTAAGACACTTGAAGACAGAATAAACACAACAACACAGACATGGGATACTGCAAAAGTTATACAAAATGCATTATGCAATAAAAACCCAGACTAAAGCAAAAGTACACTGACAACATCACAACCAAATGCTGAAACCAACACCTTCACTCCAAGCAGATTTCCAAATATAATTTTGAAGCCAGCAAGTCTGTAAGCGAACTCTGAAAAGAGTAACTCAAGAGCGAAACCGAAACACTGATTGGAAAGTTACAAATAAAAAATAAAGTTATTTAGTAGTGACGAAAATTGAATAAATTGAGCTGATTCTTTGTCGGTAATCAACTTTAAATATGAAACTACTTTCAATAAGGAAGAACAGGGTATGGACTAACTGAAATAAACACATAATAAACGTAGTCCTACCTGAAACGAATCGATAATTTCTGCATCGAGTCCTTCCAGATCATCCACAGAGGACTGAGTCTTTCTCAGAGTCAGGTCAGCAGTCAGCGTGCCATCATTATAAGATCTGACGAACTTGAAGTCACTAGTGCGCGAGCCCGTGGTCAGGTATGCGTCATAATTGTAGGCGCTGCGGAGAGTTCCCGCGCCCTCCACCTCTGCGTAATTTGGAGGCAGATACGCGCTGGGAATGGCTACAGCTCCATCAAACAACAGTCTGGGCTTTCTCCTGCGACAAAACCTCACGGCCAGGATGATGATGATGAAGGTCAGGAAGAAAGTGGAGACGGACACCAGCGCGATGATCAAATAAAACGTCAGTTTGGAGCTGCTCTCGTCATGAGACATGTCTTTCAGTTCTGGCACTTCAGCCAAGTTATCTGATACAAGTAAATACAGTGCGCACGTGGCTGAGAGAGAGGGCTGTCCGTTATCTCTGACTGACACAATAAGGTTCTGCTTCATGCTGTCAGATTCAGAAATGTCCCGCTGCGTCCTGATCTCTCCGCTGTGGACACCGATAGTGAAAAGTCCCGGATCAGTCGCTTTAATGATGTGATACGAGAGCCACGCGTTCTGCCCGGAATCCGCGTCCACGGCGATCACCTTGGAGACCAGGGAGCGCGCCTGCGCAGCTTTGGGCACCATCTCGGTCATGAAGGAGTTTCCCTCCGGAGAGGGGTATAATATCTGAGGAGAGTTGTCATTCTCATCCGATATAAAGACACTCACGGTCACGTTACTGCTCAGAGGAGGAGACCCGTTGTCTCTGGCTAACACGAGCACTTTGAAACTTTTCATCTGCTCGTAATCAAACGACCTGAAGGCATGAATGACCCCGGTGTCTCCGTTAATGGATAAAAAGGAGGACACCGGTGCGCCATTGACATCAGAGGACAACAGAGAATAAACTACAGTGCCATTCTGTCTCCAGTCCGGGTCTGTAGCTGATACTGAACAAATAGAGGAGCCTGCTTTGTTATTTTCTTGCACATGAGCTCTGTAATTCTGCTGCTGAAATACAGGTGGATTATCATTGACGTCAGCTACAGTCAAGTGAATATTCTTAGTGGAAGATAAAGGCGGAGAGCCCTCATCAGTAGCAGTAATTGTAATATTATATTCAGAGAGCAGCTCGCGGTCTAATTCACCTGTGGTCACCAGAGAATAGTAATTTTTGATTGAAGGCACGAGTTTAAATGGGACGTTTTGCTGAATGGAGCAGCGCACCTGTCCGTTATTCTCAGAGTCTCTGTCCTGCACATTAATGATGCCAACCTCTGTACCGGGCAACGCGCTCTCAGAAACTGGACTACGCAAAGATTTCAGACGTACATCAGGAGCATTGTCATTAACATCTGAGAGATTTATTACAACTTTAGCATCGCTAGATAAACCAAATACATCTTTGCCTTCAACACGTAATTCATAAACTGATTCGTCTTCAAAATCAAGTGGCCCAGCAACGCGAATATCACCGGTATCTGGATCTAACGAGAACATCTTTCTAGCTTTGTCAGAGATACGACTGAATGCATAGGTCACTTCTCCATTTTGCCCCTCGTCAGCATCAGTAGCGCTCACTGTCACCACTACAGTATCTACAGGGGAATTTTCAGGCAGACTGACTTTATAGACGGCCTGACTAAAGACTGGAGCATTATCATTAGCATCCAGCACAGTGACGTGTATGGCTACAGTACCTGATCTCGGTGGAGTCCCGCCGTCTACCGCAGTCAGAATTAAAGTCACCTCTTTCTGCTGCTCACGATCCAGCTCTTTCTCTAGCAGTAATTCTAAACTCTTTTCCCCGTGCACATCAGAATTAATAGCCAGCTGAAAATGATCATTCTTCTGTAGACTGTATCTCTGCACTGCATTCTGTCCTATATCAGCATCATGCGCCGCATTTAGACGATAACGAGAACCTCTATCAGCAGATTCCCTAATTTCAAATGTAATCAAATCATTAGAGAAAACAGGCGAGTTGTCGTTAATATCCTGAATTTGCAGTGAAACACGGTGCAACTCTAATGGATCTTCCAGCATGAACTCAAAATTTAAAACACATGAAGCCCTGTCGCCACAAAGAGCCTCTCTGTCGATTCTCTCCGCTACGGTCAGCTCTCCCGAATTCAGATTAATGTCACAATATCGTTTTCTGTTATCTTCAGTATCAATGCGAGCTTTACGAAATGAAAGCCTGTTCACATCAAGTCCGAGATCCTTCGCTATATTCCCAATCACAGATCCGCGTTTCATCTCCTCCGGGAAAGAATAGCTCACGTCTCCATAAGCGCTGTGCGCCATCAGCACGAAGAACAAAAGACCAAACATCTCAGCAGCAATGCTGAACGGCTGAAATTACCAATGAACTAAATCCAGCAGAATGTCAGTAGACATGTAAAAACATAATACAGATAAAAATATAAATCCAGAGAAGTCGATAGAAAGCAGTGACCGTCGACGTTTATCTACAACCAGACAAGCTCGAAGCCCAGTGTATGACATCACACATAGGGTGGAGAGATAATCCAAGCTATGCAAGTCTTCATGACATGCTTTTGCAGGTGAACAGCGACGCTGTGAGTTAAAATAAGAAAGTGCACCACATCTATCTTTCTGAAAATACTAAATTCTTAATCAAGGAAGTCAGTATATCATAGCAAAACAAGGACAGCCAGCAGTATTCATTTTAAAGTGCTGGATAAATAAGATCTAATATTTTAAAACCACTGCATAAAGTATTGAAAAAGCCTCAAAGCAAACAGTACAAGTCAGTACAGCAAACTGACAACAATATGAAAATACACCCAGGTGCTAATTTCATTCAGACTAGAAACAAGGCTTCTGACAACAAACTATAATTAAAAACAGAGCAATTAGAAAGAGGCATTTTTTTGCTACAGTTATTGTCTAAGTAAACTTGAGTTTAGAAAACTGAAGTGATGCCATTGCTAAGATTAACCCACAGTCATAAAGAGAGAATGGAGAGAGAAAGAGAGATTTGTGACTACTCCACTAAATGCAATAGACTGTTTCACACAGATCAGTTTTTGTCGGATGAAAAAAAGGCAAAATGGAGGAAGATGGTTTTGTGTGTGCACGCTCATTTGCCATGTCATTCTGAACTACAAAAAAATAATAATAAAATAAAAAAATAAAATAAAATTGGTCACTTTATTTTGAAGGTGCATTTGTTAAATTTACGTTACATTGCATCTGCAAAGCAAATAATTATCAATAGATTATAAGTAGACTGTTTGGTTGGGGTTAGTCTAAGTTGACATGTACTTGCAAAGTATCTTATAGTCAGTTAAAAGTCTGTTGAAGGTGGAGCATCAGCAGATATTAAGCAGACAGTGTACTAATACTCAAATGCACCATCAACATAAAGTGTTACCAAATATTTGAATCCAAAATAGCAGCTTGTGGCTTCACAAACAATAAAATAAATCTAAGCATGCCAGAGAAAATGTAATTAACAAGCAACTGTTTCCACGACCAGAAAAAAGTTTAAGAAACCACTTAAATTATTTTACTTTGATAGATTTTTTTTGTGCAAACATTTAAAAGAGTCACATTATATGCCAAGAGATCCTTTCATTAAGTAAAATGATGCTAAAAATCCACTTAGGTATTTTTAAAGAAACTCTTAGACTTACCTGAAAGGAATCGTTCGTTTCAGCATCAAGTCCTTCCAGGTCATCCACAGAGGACTGAGTCTTTCTCAGAGTCAGGTCAGCAGTCAGCGTGCCATCATTATAAGATCTGACGAACTTGAAGTCACTAGTGCGCGAGCCCGTGGTCAGGTATGCGTCATAATTGTAGGCGCTGCGGAGAGTTCCCGCGCCCTCCACCTCTGCGTAATTTGGAGGCAGATACGCGCTGGGAATGGCTACAGCTCCATCAAACAACAGTCTGGGCTTTCTCCTGCGACAAAACCTCACGGCCAGGATGATGATGATGAAGGTCAGGAAGAAAGTGGAGACGGACACCAGCGCGATGATCAAATAAAACGTCAGTTTGGAGCTGCTCTCGTCATGAGACATGTCTTTCAGTTCTGGCACTTCAGCCAAGTTATCTGATACAAGTAAATACAGTGCGCACGTGGCTGAGAGAGAGGGCTGTCCGTTATCTCTGACTGACACTATAAGGTTCTGCTTCATGCTGTCAGATTCAGAAATGTCCCGCTGCGTCCTGATCTCTCCGCTGTGGACACCGATAGTGAAAAGTCCCGGATCAGTCGCTTTAATGATGTGATACGAGAGCCACGCGTTCTGCCCCGAATCCGCGTCCACGGCGATCACCTTGGAGACCAGGGAGCGCGCCTGCGCAGCTTTGGGCACCATCTCGGTCATGAAGGAGTTTCCCTCCGGAGAGGGGTATAATATCTGAGGAGAGTTGTCATTCTCATCCGATATGAAGACACTCACGGTCACGTTACTGCTCAGAGGAGGAGACCCGTTGTCTCTGGCTAACACGAGCACTTTGAAACTTTTCATCTGCTCGTAATCAAACGACCTGACGGCATGAATGACCCCGGTGTCTCCGTTAATGGATAAAAAGGAGGACACCGGTGCGCCATTGACATCAGAGGACAACAGAGAATAAACTACAGTGCCATTCTGTCTCCAGTCCGGGTCTGTAGCTGATACTGAACTAATAGAGGAGCCTGCTTTGTTATTTTCTTGCACATGAGCTCTGTAATTCTGCTGCTGAAATACAGGTGGATTATCATTGACGTCAGCTACAGTCAAGTGAATATTCTTAGTGGAAGATAAAGGCGGAGAGCCCTCATCAGTAGCAGTAATTGTAATATTATATTCAGAGAGCAACTCGCGGTCTAATTCACCTGTGGTCACCAGAGAATAGTAATTTTTGATTGAAGGCACGAGTTTAAATGGGACGTTTTGCTGAATGGAGCAGCGCACCTGTCCGTTATTCTCAGAGTCTCTGTCCTGCACATTAATGATGCCAACCTCTGTACCGGGTAACGCGCTCTCAGGAATGGGGATATTCAGTGACTTAATTACAATAATTGGGGCATTGTCGTTAACGTCAGTTATTTCAACAATTAATTTTGTGTCTGAGGAAAGACCAGAGCCATCCTTTCCCTCAATGAGCATTTCATACCTTAAAGCCACCTCAAAATCAATGGGGCGTTTAACTCTTACATCCCCACTGTATTGATCTAGAGAAAATAAGGTGTTTGCAGTTTTTGAAATACGACTAAACTCATAGGTCACTTCTCCATTTTGTCCCTCGTCAGCATCAGTAGCGCTCACTGTCACCACTACAGTATCTACAGGGGAATTTTCAGGCAGACTGACTTTATAGACGGCCTGACTAAAGACTGGAGCATTATCATTAGCATCCAGCACAGTGACGTGTATGGCTACAGTACCTGATCTCGGTGGAGTCCCGCCGTCTACCGCAGTCAGAATTAAAGTCACCTCTTTCTGCTGCTCACGATCCAGCTCTTTGTCTAACACTAGTTCAACATTTTTCCCACCATCCACCTTTGTATTAACTGATAAAATAAAATTATCATTGCGTTCAATCGAATATCTTTGTACTCCATTCTGTCCGATGTCTGCATCATGAGCCTCATTAACGCGGAACCGAGCGCCTTTATCTGCATTCTCACTAATCTCAAGCTTTATTGTCTCTTTAGGAAATGTAGGCGTGTTATCATTAACATCCAGTATTTGTATTTTAACACGATGCATCTCTAATGGATGTTCAAGGACTAATTCGAAATTAAGTTCACAGGAAAGCCCTTCATTACAAATCTCCTCTCTGTCGATTCTCTCCGCTACGGTCAGCTCTCCAGTGTTCAGATTAATATCACAATATCGATTAATATTACCTTCAGTATCAATGCGAGCTTTACGAGATGACAGTCTGTTCACATCAATTCCGAGATCCTTCGCTATATTTCCAATCACAGATCTGCGTTTCATCTCCTCCGGGAAAGAATAGCTCACGTCTCCATAAGCGCTGTGCGCCATCAGCACGAAGAACAAAAGACCAAACATCTCAGCAGCAATGCAGATCCTTTGATTATATTCAGATATATTTCAGGAATTAAACCCAGAAAAAAAAGAACAAACAAGCAAATCAATAAACAGAAAAATGCAAACAAAACGACTGATATACAGCCCGGTTACCGTCGACGAGTTTCTAGATTTAGGCGAGCTTGAAGCTCTGTGTGACGCAAATATCAGGGTGGAGAAATATTAAACACAAATCTGGATTTGCAGGTAAACAGCGACACTGTGAGCTGAAATGAGAAACTGCAAGACATTCGTTTATATGACAGGACTAGAACAAACTGACCCGATGCAGTTCGCTTTTTAACACATACACGCTTAATTGCTTATGCAAATAAAAGACAAAGCAAATGTCAGTAGCAACATTTTTTTACAGAGAGAAATATAAACACAGCAACAGCATATATGCTACTCAAAATAAAATTAAAAAACGAGTAAAATCCACAACAGCACAGTCACAATGTGTGAGAGCTAAATATCCAACTAAAAGTAAATGCAAATGCAGCACCATGGACAGCGAATGGACGAACCAGCTCCATGCTATTTACAGGAGTGTGTTTAAAATGACTTGCAAATAAAGAGTAAAAGAACTACGACAAACAATTTTTGAAAATCCATACTTGATAGTTAGACAAAGCAAAAATAAATGTGTTTGCACGAGCGTTGGCTATTATATTCCCAACAAATCAACTACAAATAAAAAAAGATCCTTAAAAATATAACTCCAAGCAACACTCCTCTTAAGCAAATTGCAATGCCTTTAAAACAGCATATAAATATGACAATTAAGAGAAAAGTACAACTAAGAAATATCAACACCATCACAAACTCATCCGAGAACAGCAGGATTGACAAAAGACAAATGAATAAACATGCTAAAAGTGGCTTGACTAAAGGGTTGGGTGAAAAGGGAGAGATCCCTACAGCTACTAACAGATAGTTAAATATATATCTACAGCTTTTAATGCAAAAGACCAGGTAATTACTGCACAATAACAATAAACCAACCATCAATGAGTAAATTACTGTTTATACCATTTTGTTTTGTTTTATTTTTGACATAGATCATATATATCTGTTTAACCGGAATAAACTAAAATTACAATATAGAATGTAGATCTACACCCTTATGTTATTGCTTGTGGTATTAGGTTTAACTTATAAAATGTTTAAACATGTTAAACTTTTTTATAAGTTAAATATAAAAAAAATAGATGTTGATTGTTGTTCATAATTTGTATTAAGTACATAAAAAGTAAATAAAGTGCGTAAATTACAATTAGGTTACTTTTATATCTTCATATCAAGCCTTAAAAAGGACAAAGTGATCGTATCCACTATAACACGTTTGAAAAGAGTCGTGTAATGTTCCAAAAAAAAAAAAAAGATCATTAAATACGTAAGAAAAAAAACACGTAGTTTCATTAAAAGTTTGAAATTAAGACTTACCTGAAAGGAATCATTAATTTCTGCGTCAAGTCCTTCCAGATCATCCACAGAGGACTGAGTCTTCCTCAGAGTCAGGTCAGCAGTCAGCGTGCCATCATTATAAGATCTGACGAACTTGAAGTCACTAGTGCGCGAGCCCGTGGTCAGGTATGCGTCATAATTGTAGGCGCTGCGGAGAGTTCCCGCGCCCTCCACCTCTGCGTAATTTGGAGGCAGATACGCGCTGGGAATGGCTACAGCTCCATCAAACAACAGTCTGGGCTTTCTCCTGCGACAAAACCTCACGGCCAGGATGATGATGATGAAGGTCAGGAAGAAAGTGGAGACGGACACCAGCGCGATGATCAAATAAAACGTCAGTTTGGAGCTGCTCTCGTCATGAGACATGTCTTTCAGTTCTGGCACTTCAGCCAAGTTATCTGATACAAGTAAATACAGTGCGCACGTGGCTGAGAGAGAGGGCTGTCCGTTATCTCTGACTGACACAATAAGGTTCTGCTTCATGCTGTCAGATTCAGAAATGTCCCGCTGCGTCCTGATCTCTCCGCTGTGGACACCGATAGTGAAAAGTCCCGGATCAGTCGCTTTAATGATGTGATACGAGAGCCACGCGTTCTGCCCGGAATCCGCGTCCACGGCGATCACTTTGGAGACCAGGGAGCGGGCCTGCGCAGCTTTGGGCACCATCTCGGTCATGAAGGAGTTTCCCTCCGGAGAGGGGTATAATATCTGAGGAGAGTTGTCATTCTCATCCGATATGAAGACACTCACGGTCACGTTACTGCTCAGAGGAGGAGACCCGTTGTCTCTGGCTAACACGAGCACTTTGAAACTTTTCATCTGCTCGTAATCAAACGACCTGACGGCATGAATGACCCCGGTGTCTCCGTTAATGGATAAAAAGGAGGACACCGGTGCGCCATTGACATCAGAGGACAACAGAGAATAAACTACAGTGCCATTCTGTCTCCAGTCCGGGTCTGTAGCTGATACTGAACAAATAGAGGAGCCTGCTTTGTTATTTTCTTGCACATGAGCTCTGTAATTCTGCTGCTGAAATACAGGTGGATTATCATTGACGTCAGCTACAGTCAAGTGAATATTCTTAGTGGAAGATAAAGGCGGAGAGCCCTCATCAGTAGCAGTAATTGTGATATTATATTCAGAGAGCAGCTCGCGGTCTAATTCACCTGTGGTCACCAGAGAATAGTAATTTTTGATTGAAGGCACGAGTTTAAATGGGACGTTTTGCTGAATGGAGCAGCGCACCTGTCCGTTATTCTCAGAGTCTCTGTCCTGCACATTAATGATGCCAACCTCTGTACCGGGTAACGCGCTCTCAGGTACAGGGCTGGTCAGAGATTTAAGAATTACTATCGGTGCGTTATCATTGATGTCAATAATATCTATTAATACAGTGGAATAACTTGATAACCCCTGACCATCTTTAGCTTGAATAGGAAGCTCTATTGTTTTCTCCTTTTCATAATCAACGGACCCTGTTAGTTTAATCACACCAGACACTGAGTCGATGACAAATAATTGCATGACTTTTTGTGACAAATGACTAAACTCATAGGTCACTTCTCCATTTTGCCCCTCGTCAGCATCAGTAGCGCTCACTGTCACCACTACAGTATCTACAGGGGAATTTTCAGGCAGACTGACTTTATAGACGGCCTGACTAAAGACTGGAGCATTATCATTAGCATCCAGCACAGTGACGTGTATGGCTACAGTACCTGATCTCGGTGGAGTCCCGCCGTCTACCGCAGTCAGAATTAAAGTCACCTCTTTCTGCCGCTCACGATCCAGCTCTTTATTCAGCACGAGCTCGCCATGTTTTCTTCCATTTGGACGCGTCAATACATTAAGAAGAAAGTGGTCATTGTTCTGAAGTGTATATGTCTGCACTGAATTCATACCAATATCCGCATCGTGCGCCTCGTCTAATAAATAACGAGATCCTTTATCTGCTGACTCTCCTATTTCGAATTTATTAACGGTTTTTTTAAACAGTGGTGAATTATCATTTATATCCTCAATATTGAGAATAAAATTGTGCAATTCTAAGGGATTTTCCAGAACAAGCTCCTGTTTAATAACACAAGAAGCTTTATTTTCACAAATCTCCTCTCTGTCGATTCTCTCCGCTACGGTCAGCTCTCCAGTATTCAAATTAATCGCACAATATTGTATTCTGTTATTATCAGTATCAATGCGCGCCTTACGTGATGATAGTTTTTTCACATCCAGTCCGAGATCCTTCGCTATATTTCCAATCACAGATCCGCGTTTCATCTCCTCCGGAAAAGAATAGCTCACGTCTCCATAAGCGCTGTGCGCCATCAGCACGAAGAACAAAAGACCAAACATCTCAGCAGCGTTTGCGACCGTTTGCAATGATTCAGAAATCTATCAGGTTGGATTCTAAAAAAGCCAAACACTTGGCATGGAAAAGAAAAGAAATATACGAACGAATATAAAAGGATTCTACTCAATAGCTGGCATATTGTTCCACCACCGTCGATGACGTTCTAGAATTGGAGCTTCTGTATATGACATCAGAAGCAGGGTGGAGAAATGCGAGTATGTGGTTTTACAGGCGAACAGCGACACTTTGAGTTGAAATTAGAAACTGCATGGGGTTTAGAACTGTGAGTGGAGAATGTCACAATAACACACAAATAAGCGGTGCTGTAGCCAACTTTTATGAAATATATACTTATTTTACAATGCAAATATAAAACACACCTAAATCCAGCAGCAACACTGTCTATAGAGAGAGATAAAGAGCAATATAATGTATTCAAGAGAAAAACAATCGCATTTAGGGAAAGAATGCTACAATGTGCAGAAGCAAAACATCCAAACACCAAAAGCAAAAGACATTGCAGCACCACGGACAGCTACCGGCAAAAAACCTGAGCCATTCGGTTTAAATTCGTTAGCAGATGCTTTATACAAAAGGATTTACAACAAGGGGATACAACTGTAATACTTTAAAGATGCAAGACTTTGAGACAGATTAGAAAAAAAATGCAACAACTGTGTGCATGCTCCTGCACTTTGGTAATTCCATTTCTAATCACAAAAAGATCGACATTGCCAATGAGGTTAAAATTACGTTTAAAAAAATCACTCAACAAAATACTATGGAAATGTAATACACTAATAAATGCAATAGGCTACAAATTAAAATAAATCTACTGTGTGAAATATCCAAAAACAAATAAAGGCTTAATAATAATTATAATAGAAAAATAATAAGTACACAACCTTACTTTGGATAAAGTAGTAAAAAAAAAAAAAAAGCTTAACTAATACATTTAGCAATAATAATATATAAATAAATAAATAAATAAATAAATAAATAAATAAATAAATAAATAAATTAATTAATTAATTAATTAATTTAAAAATAAATAAATAAATAAATAAATAAATAAATAAATAAATAAATAAATAAATCAATAAATAAATAAATAAATAAAAGTATTATGCGGCACGTGTCTTTGTAAAATTCTGACTTATTGTTGATAAACAACATATAAAAGCTCTAAATTCAAAAGAGCACAAGTTGACAGGAGAAAAAGTTAAAATAATAAATGAACCAAAACACTAAAAAAAAGAAAGTGAAATAAAGTTGTGCATAACAATTGCACTTGCATGACTTAAAAAGAGAGACCACTTTACAAAATTATTGCTATAAATTCAGAATATCCTTACCAAAATTAACATGTGATAGGGAACATGTACCATGCCAAGAAAATTAAGAGAGAGCAAGTAAACGACAAATAATAAAAGATCCCAATCTACCTAACTATTTTTTAATTGTGTAGTCCTACCTGAAAAGAATCGATCATTTCTGCGTCGAGTCCTTCCAGATCATCCACAGAGGACTGAGTCTTTCTCAGAGTCAGGTCAGCAGTCAGCGTGCCATCATTATAAGATCTGACGAACTTGAAGTCACTAGTGCGCGAGCCCGTGGTCAGGTATGCGTCATAATTGTAGGCGCTGCGGAGAGTTCCCGCGCCCTCCACTTCTGCGTAATTTGGAGGCAGATACGCGCTGGGAATGGCTACAGCTCCATCAAACAACAGTCTGGGCTTTCTCCTGCGACAAAACCTCACGGCCAGGATGATGATGATGAAGGTCAGGAAGAAAGTGGAGACGGACACCAGCGCGATGATCAAATAAAACGTCAGTTTGGAGCTGCTCTCGTCATGAGACATGTCTTTCAGTTCTGGCACTTCAGCCAAGTTATCTGATACAAGTAAATACAGTGCGCACGTGGCTGAGAGAGAGGGCTGTCCGTTATCTCTGACTGACACAATAAGGTTCTGCTTCATGCTGTCAGATTCAGAAATGTCCCGCTGCGTCCTGATCTCTCCGCTGTGGACACCGATAGTGAAAAGTCCCGGATCAGTCGCTTTAATGATGTGATACGAGAGCCACGCGTTCTGCCCGGAATCCGCGTCCACGGCGATCACCTTGGAGACCAGGGAGCGCGCCTGCGCAGCTTTGGGCACCATCTCGGTCATGAAGGAGTTTCCCTCCGGAGAGGGGTATAATATCTGAGGAGAGTTGTCATTCTCATCCGATATGAAGACACTCACGGTCACGTTACTGCTCAGAGGAGGAGACCCGTTGTCTCTGGCTAACACGAGCACTTTGAAACTTTTCATCTGCTCGTAATCAAACGACCTGACGGCATGAATGACCCCGGTGTCTCCGTTAATGGATAAAAAGGAGGACACCGGTGCGCCATTGACATCAGAGGACAACAGAGAATAAACTACAGTGCCATTCTGTCTCCAGTCCGGGTCTGTAGCTGATACTGAACAAATAGAGGAGCCTGCTTTGTTATTTTCTTGCACATGAGCTCTGTAATTCTGCTGCTGAAATACAGGTGGATTATCATTGACGTCAGCTACAGTCAAGTGAATATTCTTAGTGGAAGATAAAGGCGGAGAGCCCTCATCAGTAGCAGTAATTGTAATATTATATTCAGAGAGCAGCTCGCGGTCTAATTCACCTGTGGTCACCAGAGAATAGTAATTTTTGATTGAAGGCACGAGTTTAAATGGGACGTTTTGCTGAATGGAGCAGCGCACCTGTCCGTTATTCTCAGAGTCTCTGTCCTGCACATTAATGATGCCAACCTCTGTACCGGGTAACGCGCTCTCAGGAACTGGACTACGCAAAGATTTCAAACGTATCTCAGGAGCATTGTCATTAACATCTGAGAGATTTATTACAACTTTTGCGTCACTAGACAAACCAAATACATCTTTGCCTTCAACTCGTAATTCGTAAACTGCTTCATCTTCAAAATCAAGTGCACCTGCAATGCGAACATCACCTGTATTTTTATCCAGTGAAAACATCTTTTTAGCTTTGTCAGAGATCCGACTGAATGCATAAGTCACTTCTCCATTTTGTCCCTCGTCAGCATCAGTAGCGCTCACTGTCACCACTACAGTATCTACAGGGGAATTTTCAGGCAGACTGACTTTATAGACGGCCTGACTAAAGACTGGAGCATTATCATTAGCATCCAGCACAGTGACGTGTATGGCTACAGTACCTGATCTCGGTGGAGTCCCGCCGTCTACCGCAGTCAGAATTAAAGTCACCTCTTTCTGCTGCTCACGGTCCAGCTCTTTCTCTAGCAGTAATTCTACATTCTTTTCCCCGTGCACATCTGAATTTATAGCCAGCTGAAAATTGTCATTCTTCTGTAGACTGTATCTCTGCACTGCATTCTGTCCTACATCAGCATCATGCGCCGCATTTAGACGATAACGAGTCCCTCGGATGGCAGACTCGCTAATTTCAAATGTAATCAAATCATTTGAGAAAACAGGCGAGTTGTCGTTAATATCCTGAATTTGCAGTGAAACGCGGTGCAGCTCTAATGGATCTTCCAGCATGAACTCAAATTTTAAAACACATGAAGCCCTGTCGCCACAAATCTCCTCTCTGTCGATTCTCTCCGCTACGGTCAGCTCTCCAGTATTCAGATTAATGTCACAATATCGTTTTCTGTTACCTTCTGTATCAATGCGAGCCTTACGAAAGGAAAGTCTGTTCACATCTAGCCCGAGATCCTTCGCTATATTCCCAATCACAGATCCGCGTTTCATCTCCTCCGGGAAAGAATAGCTCACGTCTCCATAAGCGCTGTGCGCCATCAGCACGAAGAACAAAAGACCAAACATCTCAGCAGCAACACAGAACCGTTGAAACGCCCAAGACATTATCATACGCAGCAACTCATAAGCAAACGTGCAATAATATTTATAAACAAAATAAATGTAAATTTCTAGAATTAGAAATAAATTGAAGCCAGCCACGCGTCGACGACTTTCAGAGAGAAGAGCTCAAAGCCCGGTGTATGACATCACAAGCAGGGTGGAGAAAGGCATACAGATGGACATGCATGGTTTTACGGGTGAAGAGCGACACTTGGAGTTGAAATAAAAGACTGCATTACAATTCTGTTTCTGATAGATATACACTAAATACTATTTTGGGAAACAAGAAAGTCCAGAAGTGTTATTTGAACAGTGTGGATAAATAAAACACATATACGATACTAAAACAGTGATATGAAGACCGAATTATAGAAGTAAAATTACTGAAATTAAAGGGTTCATGCCAGTGCAGCACCATGGGCAGCAACATGAGAACTGCTCTGCTATTTGTTCCTATAAAAAGGATGTTCAAAAGTCCTGAAATAGGTATTTGGCTCATTTTAAAAGCCATGTTTCACATAAAGGATCATTAGATAAATGCAAAACTGCAAAAAACAATATTTTGTTATGTACTGGTTGACAAAAAAAAATCTGAATCAATTGGAGACAAACTGAGTTCAGACAACAAGATAACATGCTTTAAAAACAATTTGTAAACTGAAAGTGTTCAATTTCCGAATTTTAAATGCCACAAACAATCTAAAAACAACTATTAGAAACACCAAATATATGTCACGCAAGTATATATGAGCTGTGGAAATATACACTCTTTAAACTGAGCCTCAGGAATGTTCGTGCGCCTAAACCGCTTTAACGAGCCTCATAACCTCATTATATTAAAGTGCCCGTCGTCAGCAAAGACAATTAGTCAAATTATAAATGTACTTTTGTAGCGTAAACTCAGGGTAAACGAAACAAATGTTAATACTATTAAAAAAGATTTCATGTCCACGTAAAGTCCTTCAAGATCATAATTGCACAATTTTCAGAAATGAATAAGAAACAATAGCATTACTAAAACATTTTAAATATTTCAACTTAATAAGATCAGTTAACGAATTCCAAAGGAAAGCAAGCTTATTTAAGATCATATGTTCGGTAAAAATATGATATACATCCGTAATGTGAGGAATCCTAACCGATATTAAACGATGTAAAGCAAATAGGTAATAGTCCTTTTTGATTAACGTATACTTATGAATTAAGCAGCGATTAGTACCATAACCTTGTTATTTTTTTATTCCACATAAAATGTAACACGAAAAACAACCAGTTCAAGTCCCAAAAATTTGTGAATAAAAGGATAGAGAATCTCACCAACATTGCGCAAGGCACTGGTATTCACACATTTACATGAGCTACTTCCATGATCTTAAAAGAAAACAAATAACATTTATGGAATAAATGCTTTTAAATCAGGAACAATGCGACTACGGGTAAGCAATACACATGTTCAGCTGTAATTTCTCATGGTTTGGAATCGATACAATAACTTAAATTCCGTGTAATAATGAAAACGTCAACACTAGAACAGAACTTGAAAGTCCAAAAATTAGAAATTGCGTAAAGTACTTATGACACGTGAACCTTTATACAAAAACATAGATATTAATGATGTCAACAAAAAAAAATACTTTGTTTGATTTTAAAATAAAATCTATTAAAAAAAACTATTACTGTAAAACATTTTGTAGTCCTACCTGAAATGATTCATTAATTTCTGCATCGAGTCCTTCCAGATCATCCACAGAGGACTGAGTCTTCCTCAGAGTCAGGTCAGCAGTCAGCGTGCCATCATTATAAGATCTGACGAACTTGAAGTCACTAGTGCGCGAGCCCGTGGTCAGGTATGCGTCATAATTGTAGGCGCTGCGGAGAGTTCCCGCGCCCTCCACCTCTGCGTAATTTGGAGGCAGATACGCGCTGGGAATGGCTACAGCTCCATCAAACAACAGTCTGGGCTTTCTCCTGCGACAAAACCTCACGGCCAGGATGATGATGATGAAGGTCAGGAAGAAAGTGGAGACGGACACCAGCGCGATGATCAAATAAAACGTCAGTTTGGAGCTGCTCTCGTCATGAGACATGTCTTTCAGTTCTGGCACTTCAGCCAAGTTATCTGATACAAGTAAATACAGTGCGCACGTGGCTGAGAGAGAGGGCTGTCCGTTATCTCTGACTGACACAATAAGGTTCTGCTTTATGCTGTCAGATTCAGAAATGTCCCGCTGCGTCCTGATCTCTCCGCTGTGGACACCGATAGTGAAAAGTCCCGGATCAGTCGCTTTAATGATGTGATACGAGAGCCACGCGTTCTGCCCGGAATCCGCGTCCACGGCGATCACCTTGGAGACCAGGGAGCGCGCCTGCGCAGCTTTGGGCACCATCTCGGTCATGAAGGAGTTTCCCTCCGGAGAGGGGAATAATATCTGAGGAGAGTTGTCATTCTCATCCGATATGAAGACACTCACGGTCACGTTACTGCTCAGAGGAGGAGACCCGTTGTCTCTGGCTAACACGAGCACTTTGAAACTTTTCATCTGCTCGTAATCAAACGACCTGACGGCATGAATGACCCCGGTGTCTCCGTTAATGGATAAAAAGGAGGACACCGGTGCGCCATTGACATCAGAGGACAACAGAGAATAAACTACAGTGCCATTCTGTCTCCAGTCCGGGTCTGTAGCTGATACTGAACAAATAGAGGAGCCTGCTTTGTTATTTTCTTGCACATGAGCTCTGTAATTCTGCTGCTGAAATACAGGTGGATTATCATTGACGTCAGCTACAGTCAAGTGAATATTCTTAGTGGAAGATAAAGGCGGAGAGCCCTCATCAGTAGCAGTAATTGTAATATTATATTCAGAGAGCAGCTCGCGGTCTAATTCACCTGTGGTCACCAGAGAATAGTAATTTTTGATTGAAGGCACGAGTTTAAATGGGACGTTTTGCTGAATGGAGCAGCGCACCTGTCCGTTATTCTCAGAGTCTCTGTCCTGCACATTAATGATGCCAACCTCTGTACCGGGTAACGCGCTCTCAGGAACTGGACTATTCAGAGATTTAAGAATTACTATCGGTGCGTTATCATTGATGTCAACAATATCTATTAATACAGTGGAATAACTCGATAACCCCTGACCATCTTTAGCTTGAATAGGAAGCTCTATTGTTTTCTCCTTTTCATAATCAACAGGCCCTGTTAGTTTAATCACACCAGACACTGAATCGATGACAAATAATTGAATTACTTTTTGAGATAAATGGCCAAATGCATACGTCACTTCTCCATTTTGTCCCTCGTCTGCATCAGTAGCGCTCACTGTCACCACTACAGTATCTACAGGGGAATTTTCAGGCAGACTGACTTTATAGACGGCCTGACTAAAGACTGGAGCATTATCATTAGCATCCAGCACAGTGACGTGTATGGCTACAGTACCTGATCTCGGTGGAGTCCCGCCGTCTACCGCAGTCAGAATTAAAGTCACCTCTTTCTGCTGCTCACGATCCAGCTCTTTATTTAGCACGAGTTCGCCATATTTTCTTCCATTAGGACGCGTCAATACATTAAGAAGGAAATTCTCGTTATTCTGAAGAGTATATGACTGCACTGAATTCAGGCCAATATCCGCATCGTGCGCCTCCTCTAAAAGATAACGGGAACCTTTAACTGCTGACTCCTGAATTTCGAATTTAATTATACCTTCTTTGAAAAGCGGTGAATTATCATTTATGTCTTCAATATTGAGAATAAAATTGTGTAATTCTAATGGATTTTCCAGCACGAGCTCCTGTTTATTAACACATGAAGCTTTATTTTCACAAATCTCCTCTCTGTCGATTCTCTCCGCTACGGTCAGCTCTCCGGTTTTCAGATTAATGTCACAGTATTGTATTCTGTTACTGTCAGTATCAACGCGAGCCTTACGTGATGATAGTCTGTTCACATCCAGTCCGAGATCCTTCGCTATATTCCCAATCACAGATCCGCGTTTCATCTCCTCCGGGAAAGAATAGCTCACGTCTCCATAAGCGCTGTGCGCCATCAGCACGAAGAACAAAAGACCAAACATCTCAGCAGCTTCGTATACCGTTTGCAATGCTTCAGAAACGTAATCCCAAAAACCCAAATACTTATCATTTAAAATAAACAATTATTTCTAAAACAATTCTTCTCAATGGCGGATATATTGTTCCTTCACCGTCGAGGACATTCTAGGATTGCAAGCTTCAAGCTTTGTATATGACATCACAAGCAGGGTGGAGAAATGTATACATATAAGATATCTGTGATTTTGCAGGTGAACAGCGACCCTTTGAGTTGAAATAAGAAACTGCATAGCATTAATAATTCCAAGAGGAGAAACTCATTGAATAATGCACAAAAGGTACTGATAATTATCAAATATATACTTATTTCATAATGCAAATGAACAAACATAACCTAGCAGAGACACTGTCTTTAGAGAGAGATATAAAAAGTAATTTAATGTATTCAAAAGAAGGAGAGAAAGCAACAATATAGGAGCAAATTTTCCAAACAGCTAGAGTAAAAGCTATAGTGCAGGACCATGGACAGCAACAGCAAACACCTGAACCATTCTATGTATATTCTGATCGCTTACGCATACATACAAACCAATTCACAAATACGAATAAAACTGCACTACTTAGACTCAATAGTTTGAGACTAAATATTAGGATGAAAGATGCAGAGAAGTCGTGTGTGAATGTGAGCACTTGGTCACTCCATTTCCAATAAAAATACTGCCAATAGTCATTCAAAGTATGATGTTTAATAGATTTCACTCACGAGAAAATTACTAATATCTTATTAAATATTATAAAAATTAGGTAAGATTTTAAGAGAAATGAAACACGAACACAGACTTAATACACTGGGAAATATTTTGCATGAATTAATAAAATGACATGACATGAACTGACAACGTTGACAGGAAAATAATTTAATTGATCGCTAGTATACAACATTTGAAGC